TTGCTTTGCTATTTAATAAACAAAGGTCATATTCCAAATTCCTGTGAGTAATCTAAGTGCACTATGGATAAGAGTTGGCCATAGACTAAAATCCAGCGAGCCTATCGGTAATTGGTATATAGACAGGGCTGGATTAAGAAACATATGGGTGGTTGCTCCATTTATCACATTGAATTACTTTTTGAGGTGGCTATTCCTTTACACTCTATTCTTTTATTTAAAATTGACAACTTTCATGATTTAAAAGCAAGCAAACAGACAAGGAGCCCTGCAGATACAAGGGTATAAGCAAGAGGTGTAGAGTGCAAACTAAGCTCCTCTCCAAAAGAGCTAAGTAACCTCCTCATCACGGCCTATGAAGCCTGAGTGGTCTGATCTGCCTACTGCTCCAGCCTCATCCCACATGCTGCTCTTGGTATCTGATGCAAGTCAAGTCTTTCAGTTCCTGGAATTGGCTATGACTCCTCCTACACAGTCCATTCCCTTTGCCAGGAATGCTCCTATTCATCTATCAGCCTTCACACTGAGATCTCAAATCTCACTAGCCTTTCCTCATGTCCTTTTAAATAGTTCTTTCAGAGAATTACTTTTGGGCTCCATAGCACTTACACATTTTAGGGAAACTATGTCTTATCTGTGTGATTATTTCATTAATACCTATGTTGCTCTACCGGGCTGTTAACTCCATGTTTGTGGTTGACCACTAATGCATCAAAAGTGCCTAGCACAGTGTACAGTGTGTGCATAATATTTACAGAATGAATATACTGATGTTAAAGAGCAACAGAGGGAGCCGTATTTGATTTATCATGGTTATAAGCTTGTTATCCGAGTAAAAATACAAGCCGTGTGGGAGTCCTAGGCACATAAATCCTATTCCTTAATCAAATGAGTAATATTACAGAAAACAGAACTCAGGCAATACTCAGATCATTGGGTTTCAAACAAATAAATAAATCAAGAGCCACACTGAAACATATCTAAGTGAAATTCAATTATGTAATTGGGATTCTATTTGTACATTAATATAATACAGTCATGTGCCACATATTAATGTTTTGGTCAGTGACTTTTTTTATGCTTC